CTTACTCCAGAGAAACAGTTTGCATGCAAACTATTCTGGTTTACAATACTAGAAACTACAATTTCAGGAAAGCCACAAATGAAACATTACTCACTTTGAACAACAGATAAGCACTGATTGGCAAAACTTAACATTGAAAAAACCTTCAGTGCTTTAATAAGGACTACTTGGGATTTCAATTTGCGTCTTTTAGACGAAAAATCAAGCGCTTTTTCTCCTTGATGGACGATAACACTTGGGAAATAATAATATCCCTTCTTGTCGCGATTTGAGCGGTTGGAACAACCGACAACAGAGCAAAAATTGACCATCTTTCCGTCAGCCCTTCGGTTCGTGTTATGTTTTCCGCGAGAGGTTGACCTTCAGGATGGCCGTCAGTGCGTTTCTATGGAAACGTGACGTCATGCGGGAAACCTCTATACTTTTTAGCAAGCTCGTGTGCGTGTTGTTCTCGCGTGCACTTCAGTCACGGCACAAAACTTAAGTCAAGTGATTAAATATTACTGGCAGCCATGTTTGCTGTAATAGGCTTTTCTTGGCTCAGAAGTAGTTTATGTGGGTTAATCATCCAACTGACGGAGAATGCACAAAAAGACTATCAAAGCCTCAGGATAGATAAATATTTACGCTTTTAGTAGGTTCGTCGAGTTACAAAGTTGAAATGTTTTCAGTTGGTCGAATACTATGGTGGAAGTAGCTAGTACAGCAAATCAATAAGTTTATGCTGAAGAAATGGCCCACTTTTGTCAATCTTTTACTCTGGTAAGTTAAGAAGGTAAAATTTAGCTTCAGTTAAGTTTAGTTGATTTTTGATAATGTTATTTATACTGCTCAAGGTATAAGTGAGTGGCAAGAATTGAGCCTTTCTCCAGGATACCTTTCTATCGTTTTATCTTGATGATCTGATATTGTAGGTTTTATGTTACTCTATATTTTATCCAGATGATAATACAGAGTCAACCCTTTTATCAACTTTTTCATCACGAAATACAAGACAGAAATTTTGTTGAAAAAGATAGCTGCGGAAAGAGTTCCATATAACCCCATACATTAATTATGCATTCATTTCATAAAGTCTAAATATAAAGATTTCTTTGCAACACTCTATGTATAATTAATGTATGGGGTTATATGGAACTCTTGCCACTAGCTGTTTTGGTAAGAAGATGGAAGAGTACTCATTGCCAGATTTCCTACATCAGGAAATCCTACATGTAAGTGTTACCCATGCCAGCATA